AAGGGTGGTTGAAATTTTTGAAAATGCTTGAATTTCAATATGATGTTTTCAAGTGCTTGATTTGCGTATAAAGTCTTTGTTACGTGCTAGATATTCAAACTGCAGTTTTGTAACAAAGTGCAATCAAATGTTTGATTAAAGTTTGATGAATTTAGTGAACATTAATTAAAGTTGAACCCAGATATCTTCACCTAATAAGAGAAACATGTTTTCTCACTGTCAGAAGTTAAATCAGTGTAAACTTTTCTTGTTTAGATTACAAGAAATGCTGTTTAAACAAGATAAGCTTTGCTAACTTTTCTAGGTACAAAGATGTACCAAAATTATCTAAATTTAGGCAATTTAGAGAATCACCTTAATTATTTCAAATTGCTGAATGCCATAATAGCTAGCAAGAACATTTTTTACATGTTTTTTGTATAACTTTCTTTATATATTTAGCATTTAATTTGAGCAGGAAGGTCACAACTGATGGTTGTTTGGATTTTTTCAATGTAATGAATATTTATTATTCCCAATGGCTTACAGACTTATTGATTTAAGTAATAAGGGCTAGCTTATAATTTATACATTATGTAAATTAACACTAACACAAATTTTTTATGTTGAATTAGTGTTTTGTTCCCTGAGCAGTTAGGTACGTAGTGTGTGTTTGTGTGTGTGTGAGAGAGAGACATTTTAAAACATAAACTTTTGTTGTATTTTAGTTTACATTGTCCCTGCTGCAGAACATTAACAAATCATAAATTATGTCATAGCGAATAGAAACTGTCTTTGTTTTAGTTCATTTGTATTGCTTTTATTTAATGTCCAAAATGTGGAAAGGCTTGTAAACCTTCCTTAGAAATGCTTGAAAAGTGCTTGAATTTTACTGTGGGAAAAGTGTGTGAGGCTTGTATTCAGATCCTCCGGACTACAGAATCTCTATGAATCACTATTTTAATGACTGAACTTGATAGACTTTTCTATGCAAATTAGTTGTCAATTACAAACTTCACTTTTCATACCAATCAATTCCAAAACTTAATCAGTCCTCCTCTTTTCCAGAAACTCCATACTTTGTGCGGCTATTAGAAGACCGAACAGTAGCACGTGGTGAAACTGCAGTGCTTCAGTGCATAGCTGGAGGCAGTCCCGCTCCCCGACTCAACTGGACCAAAGACGACGGGCCTCTCATGCTCACAGAGCGTCACTTTTTTGCTGCAGCCAATCAACTCCTCGTCATAGTTGATGCTGGGCCAGCTGATGCTGGGAAGTACACCTGCATCATGTCTAACACCCTGGGTACCGAACGCGGCCACATCTACCTCAGCGTCTCACTGTTGCCCTGTGACCCACCAGTAGGGATCGACCACGACAACTGGAACACTGTGGGGATCGTGGTAATTGTTGTTGTGTGCTGTGTGGTCGGGACGTCACTCGTCTGGGTCATTGTCATTTATCACATGCGCAGGAAGAATGAGGACTACAGCATCACCAACACTGGTTAGTCATTTTAGAAATGCTGTTAAATGAAGGCAGATACAGGATTAAAGGGGACCTATTATGCAACATCCACATTTTGCATGTTTTTGTACTTCTGTTTTGATCTCAACTGCTTTTAAAAACAACCAAAGGATTTAAAAAAATAAAAACCACTCAGTCATTTTTGGCAATAGGTTAACTGTTTCAAAAACTTTGGGAATGTAACGTCAGAAATCATCTGGCCCTGCCCCTCATCTGCGTGTACTTGCAAGCATGAGCTGGGAAAGCTGGACTTACAAATTCCTGATAAGTCTAGCCTGGTACCTAGCAACCCAAACTGAACTACTGTACAATGGGTGTGTTTTGTTGTTGCTTCTTGTTGGTTGTGCAGGAGGGTCTACTAATGCTTTTCAAAGATATATGGTTGTATAATTGTGCGTTTATTGGCTCCCTTTTAACTTGAAATGTAAACGTTAAGTGATGGGGTGTGGTCAGTAGAAGTTTATTTAAATTTAAAGTGACAAGAGGCCCTGAAGCAGAACTGACCAGACTAAAATCTCATCCAAAAATGACTGTGCAAAAAAAATTTAATGAACATGTTTTGTAAAGTCCATAAACCCATCCTAATCTCTTAAGGGATACATAGGAGGTCACCTTTAAAGCTTTACTCAGCCAGCAAATCAGATGTTCTGCCATTAAACTAATATTTACCTGCTTGGACACCACTTAACATTTTGTTTGAACACATGTCTTTGTTACAGATGAGATGAATTTGCCAGCAGATATCCCAAGCTACCTGTCCTCTCAGGGTACTTTGTCAGAGCCGCAAGAAGGCTACAGTAACTCTGAGGCAGGTAGCCACCAGCAGCTCATGCCTCCACTCTCCAATGGATACATTCATAAGGGCACTGATGGTATGTACTCCATTTTAAATCACAGCAGGATACAGTCAAACCTTTTTTCTCAATTGCTGACGTTTGTTTTGTAGGTTTGTGATGTTGACATTACAAACATACAAACATCATATTTGTATGCATGATTCTTGGAGTAAATGCAGTTGAACTCCTATGATGTTCCTTAGACATGTTTTGTTAATGTAAGTTGCTTGGAAATTCTTAAGAGCTTTATCATTTGTTGACACAATTTGGAATAAATTGCAGACAGAATTCATTTACTTGTTAGTTGACATAAAACAGCTGGTTCCACTGAAATTAGGAGTTTAGGTGTAAAAGGGGTTGAATGCAAATACTCAACACATTGAAAATATTTCAGAAATTATGCAAAAGAATTTTCACACCTTAAACCGTGAACTATTTCTTTGTTTATCAACATAATAAAATAAGGAAGTATAAAGTGTTTGTTCATCACGAAAATGCCAATCAGGCACATTCGATTTTCTGGGTTTTCTTTCCTACAACATAAATTGAAAAAGTTCAAGGTTAAATACTTTTGCAAGTTGTTTACCATAACTTGTGACTAAATCTCCCAAGATCTGACTTAAGTACTGCATGAGTAGATGAGAAATAATAGCTCTGTCTAGTTTTTGTTTGGGCTCAATGAACATTTTCATCTCAAGAAAACATGTTGACATGATAAATAATACATAAGTAAACAAAAGGTATTCTAAAGAAACCCTCCTGGCAAAACAAAATAAAATTTTAGAGGCTTTTTAAAAAAAAGAACACAGCTTCTCAGATGTGCCTTCTTAATGTGATTTGAGATACTCTCATACCTGTCAGAGACTTGTGTCTGTTGTTGTGTTTTGGATCATATCCCCTGCAGAATGAAACTGTAACTAATTATTATGTTTGTCCCAGGAGTGTGCTATGGAGACACAGGCAGTGAGGTGGAAACTGAAGGAAACGGGATGTTGCACTGCAAGATAGGCGCTCTGTTCACCGGCCGTAGCAGCTTCCATCCTGGCGAATCTCGTGAGGGATTAGCGGGAGTCTCCTCTGGTCTGTCATTATTTTATCACTTCTATTTTTTTTTTTTTTATTGTCATGTTTCCACTCTGAAAAACCTTTGAATTAGGGATCAGCATTTATCATATTGTTATCAGTTATGGTGAAAATATTCTTGACATAATAGACATAAGAAATTTGATTTATCTTTAGCTTGAATTCCATTTCCTGATGTTTCACAAAAAGTATGACAAAAATGTTATCTTTAGTATTTTCCCCAGTGTTCCATGAGAGTATCAATAAAATCTAAAATAGTATTATTAAGTTCACTTACCTTGTGTAGTTTAGTGATATAAATCACATATTTAAGTAACTGTTGTCCTGAGGAAACCAATTTATAATGGGAATGCTTTTCAAGAGCAGTATTTGTGGCACTAGGAATTCCAGGGCCATGCAGAGACCTTTGCAGGGACAGGGGTTCAAAGTTAAAATGGAGCACATTGAAGAAAATCTTAAAACACCGTACAATAACATAGCAACAACCCATATTAATCAAGAATCTAATTGGATCCCACTATATCATTACTATCATGTGGGGACAATGCAAAGCAAATGTAGTATATTTTCCCCAACAGTTATAATGTTGCTGTTTCTGCTTCTGACAGTCCTGGAGGCCTGTGTTGATCTGAGACTGTAGTTGTTGAACAGACCATAGAAGAGAAGGTTGCTGGTTATGAAGTTATGAAATAAGCAAATTTGCTGCCATTTTACTAATTAAGACCTAATAATATCTATTTAACCTCTAGAACATCTTGCAGGGTTTCCGCACAGTAGTAAATTAAATTAGCTAAAAGGTAGTAAACGAAAGCAAATAGAATTAAAGCTGCAAGCAGCCTCGAACTGCCCCTTGCAGCTCAGAGCCATTCCGGCCTATTGGCGCGAGGATTCCTGCACAGTCGCCCACTTGCCAATGCCGACGCTCTCGCGCACTTCCCGCACCAGTGTCCAGTGGGACCTTTCTGTCTGATGAGGTGCTATTTCTCTGAGAACTCAATTTCTCAATGAAACTCTTTGTCACTGGTGGAGTAATACTGACCCCTACTGGCGAAATACTGATGTCGTTATTCATCATCTTTGTGTCAAATTGCATCAGACAGTATTTTTTGATGCAAGTTATTTCTCTGAAAACTCCATTTCTCAGTTGGTCTCTTTGTCTTTGGTGGAGTAGTACTGACTCCTACTGGCGAGTTACTGACATTGTTGTTAAACAATGACTGCTGATGAATAACAAATGCTATATTGTTTTAAAATATGTAAAAATTTTGCGCAGTTGTGAGGCAAAATTTGAGCTAAAACAAAACTAATTTAGTTTCAACAAATCAAAAATGTTAAAGTTGGCTATTAAAGAGTCTGCTTTATTCAAAATAGTTTGTATTTACATCTATATCGGCCGCAATACAAAAAAAAATTCCAATCCATAAGGGCAGATCTATTCAGTCTAATTCTATAATTTGTGGTTTATTATTTATTTTTACAATATTTAGAATAATTAGACTTTCTGAACCTTTTCAGAGAAGTTTTGTTGTGTTTCACTTTCAAATTGAAAACAGACGAGTAATTAAAATGTAGAAATATTGTAAATATATAATATATATATGAATATATTGTGTATAAATATTTAAAATGTGACGTGAGCTCAAAGTGCAACGCTACAGTTAGCTTACCAAAGGATTGTGTTAAAAAATAACAGTGGATAAATGGCTTAAGACTATTTATACCACACCAGGTACAGAAAGCCACAAATGCAAAAATTCTATCATGTAGAAATCTATTGTTAATTTCTTCATGTTAAATTAAGAAAAACATTACTTATTATATAATTACTTAGTCATTATTTCAGCTTGACTCTTGCAGAACTGATCTGATCAGTTTTGCATGACTATTCCTTCTGATCGTTTCCATAGCAACGATCAGAAGAGCAAGACTTTGCTAAATACAAAAGTCCAGTGAGCTCACTGATGAGGTCATAGATGACATAATGTATATCACAATAGATCAAAGAAGTTCTAAACCTTGCACGATTTGCACGCCAACATTGAGGACACAAAGTTCCAATAGAAACCAGAATCTGCAGCACCCAACATGAGGAGGCGTTCCAGCAAAATCCAGTCTCGGAGCCAAAGACGGGACAACTTGCTTGACTCGCCCAATGGATCAGACATAGAATGCAGGAACGGCGATATGATGAAAATGTGGTTATTGCTGAGACAGCTAGAAGAGCTGAGGGAACCTGAGCTAGAAGAGCAGATGGAAGCCCAGGCTGGTCCTGGATCATTTCTGGCAGATCTCCAAGAAGAGCCAAAGACTGATTTGAATGAAACGAAAAAGCTTCTAGAAATCTCTTTGTTAGAAAATCTCTTCTTACAGGAGGAGTTGAAGAAACTGAGAGATGACTCCGACATAAATTCAATTAAACAGAAACTGGAGGAAGAACGATGCAAATGCATTGAGTTGGAACAGAAGGTCAATGATGCCATAAAATTAGGAGTTGAGGATTCTCCATCACAGTCACCAAAACCACCATCCTCTCAACCAACAGAAAAACATAAAGAGCCTCTTTGCAACAGCTTTCTGGAATGGCTTTACAATCGTTTTGCAGTTGATATCGAAGACTTTGGCTTCCAGCCAGAGACAATTGTGGAAACAGAGGAGCCACTAAGGGCTAGGAGGTTGGCTGAAAATATGAGACGCCTCAAAAGAGATGTCAGACCTGTGACAGACTTCATGGATAACCTGTCTGCCTTAACCAGCTGGTACTCTGGGTCCACGTCTGCCATTGCCTTCGTTGTGTACATGTGTGCAGCGTGGCATGGGTGGATCATCTCGATATTCCTGTTCCACGCAATTGTCCGCCTTACCTTCAATTATCTCATTTTTAGAGGCTGGATAATCGTACCTGAAGTGTGTGAGCCATTGGAACCCCCAAAGGAGAACTTGACTATATCTGAGAAGTGCCAGTTGTTTTTTGATGTTGCTCAGAAAGCTCAGAATCTTATTGGAAAGATTGCCGACATCCTGGAGAAGATAAAAAATCTGTTCATGTGGATCCAGCCAGAATTGACTCTAAAGCTCTACCTGGCGCTGTGGGTGATTTTTATCTCCTCATGCCTGTTACCTTGCCAAGTGCTGGGCTTCATCACAGCTGCTTATGTAGGTTTCAAGTTCTTCATATTTGACGTCATCTTCAAAAGTTTCCCCGAGCTACAACAGCGCTTTGACACCTCCTTCATCATCTGGACCAACTTACCCACTGACCTGCAGCTGAAGGAAAGCAGCAACACTACCCGCAGCAGACAGGTTGCCACAACAGAGACCCAAGAGAGCGTTTGTCTTCATGTGGTCTGAAAGTTCTCCAAGTGCATTTCTCCAAGTGCACATTTCCAAGTTAAGGGTACTCCGGCTTCCTTCCAGAGTCCAAAAAGATGTCTGTTGGTTTATTTGGCTTTTCTAATTTACCTTTGCCCTATGTTTTCTCTTTTGCTTAAAGTAGTTTAGGCCAACACTACTTTTAGCAAATGTCAGACACACATTTTTCTGATTAAATTTCATAAATATCAAAAAGTAGTGTCAGGTTTCTCTCCGGGCACTCCGACTTCCTGCCACAGTCTGAAATCACGACTGTTTAGTTAATTGGTCTCTAAATTCTGTTAGTGTGATTAAAACATTTCGTTGTTTTGAATAAAACCTTTGCCTGGGTCTGAATCCCTGCCTGGGTTCTTCTGTGTTCATAGGGTTTGCATGTTCTCCAAGTACATTGGTGGGTTCTCTCCGGCTTCTTGGGCTTCCTCCCAGAGTTCAAAAAGATTAATGTTAGTTTAATTGCCTTTTCTGGTTGACCTTAGCCCCGTGTCTTTTTCCCTCTCTTTTGCTTATAGTTTTGGCCACTTTAACCAAATGTCAAAAAAAAATTTGTGATTAAATTTCACAAATATATATATATATATATATATATATTTGTGAAATTTAATCACAGACTAACTGTAAGTCCTAACTGTAAGTCCTAACTGTATATATATATATATATATATATATATATATATATATATATATATATATATATATATATATATATATATACAGTTAGGGCCAGAAATATTTGGACAGTAACACAATATTTGTGAGTTGGGCTCTGCATGCCACCGCATTGGATTTGAAATGAAACCTCTACAACAGAATTCAAGTGCAGATTGTAACGTTTAATTTAAAGGGTTGAACAAAAATATGTGATAGAAAATGTAGGAATTGTACACATTTGTTTACAAACACTCCACATTTTAGGAGCTCAAAAGTAATTGGACATATAAACATAACCCAAACAAAAAAGTTGTTTCTCAATATTTTGTTGCGAATCCTTTGGAGGCAATCACTGCCTTAAGTCTGGAACCCATGGACATCACCAAACACTGGGTTTCCTCCTTCTTAATGCTTTGCCAGGCCTTTACAGCCGCAGCCTTCAGGTCTTGCTTGTTAGTGGGTCTTTCCGTCTGAAGTCTGGATTTGAGCAAGTGAAATGCATGCTCAATTGGGTTAAGATCTGGTGATTGACTTGGCCATTGCAGAATATTCCACCTTTTTGCTCTCATGAACTCCTGGGTAGCTTTGGCTGTATGCTTGGGGTCATTATCCATCTGTACCGTAAAGCGCCGTCCGATCAACTTTGCAGCATTTGGCTGAATCTGGGCTGACAGTATATCCCGGTACACTTCAGAATTCATCCGGCTACTCTTGTCTGCTGTTATGTCATCAATAAACACAAGTCACCCAGTGCCATTGATAGCCATGCATGCCCATGCCATCACGTTACCTCCACCATGTTTTACAGAGGATGTGGTGTGCCTTGGATCATGTGCCGTTCCCTTTCTTCTCCAAACTTTTTTCCTCCCATCATTCTGGTACAGGTTGATCTTTGTCTCATCTGTCCATAGAATACTTTTCCAGAACTGGGCTGGCTTCTTGAGGTGTTTTTGGGCAAATTTAACTCTGGCCTGTCTATTTTTGGAATTGATGAATGGTTTGCATCTACATGTGAACCCTTTGTATTTGCTTTCATGGAGTCTTCTCTTTACTGTTGACTTAGAGACAGATACACCTACTTCCCTGAGAGTGTTCTGGACCTCAGTTGATGTTGTGAACGGGTCCTTCTTCACCAAAGAAAGTATGCGGTGATAATCCACCACTGTTGTCTTCCGTGGACGCCCAGGCCTTTTTGAGTTCCCAAGCTCACCAGTCAATTCCTTTTTCCTCAGAATGTACCGACTGTTGATTTTGCTACTCCAAGCATGTCTGCCATCTCTCTGATGGATTTTTTCCTTTTTTTTCAGCCTCAGGATGTTCTGCTTCACCTCAATTGAGAGCTCCTTTGACCGCATGTTGTCTGGTCACAGCAACAGCTTCCAAATGCAAATCCACACACCTGGAAACAACCCCAGACCTTTTAACTACTTACTTGATTACAGGTTAACGAGGGAAAGGCCTTTTGAGTTACTTGCAGCCTTTGGAGTCCATTGTCCAATTACTTTTGGTCCCTTGAAAAAAGAGGAGGCTCTGCATTACAGAGCTATGATTCCTAAACCCTTTCTCCGATTTGGATGTGGAAACTCTCATATTGCAGCTGGGAGTGTGCACTTTCAGCCCATATTATATATAAATTGTATTTCTGAACATATTTTTGTCAACAGCTAAAATAACAAAACCTGTGTCACTGTCCAAATATTTCTGGCCCTAACTGTATATATATGTATATGTGCGTGTGTGTGTGTGTGTGTGTGTGTATCAGACATCCTGATGTAAACATATCAGGATGTCTGATATAAAGACAGACATGTATCTCTCGTTGGGACCGACTCGCTACAGACTGCAGCGAACTGGGCATTTAGCAGCCTGATTGAGTTAAAGTCAGAAGTTTTCTCTGCTGCCGAAGCATTTCTGTGTTTCGGCCGAGGCGGGTTTTTTCCCCACTATTGTGAGGACAATTCTGAGAATATAAATGGAATCAGTTTTTCTAACGTCAGATCTACGTTTTTATTCACAAACCAGTGTATTAAAAAATATTGTTTCCCATAATTTGATAGTTAGAGGGCACAGATCTGCCCTTCTCCTCACCATGGAGCCAGAGTCTGAATAATGGCCCTGTGCCACTGCCAGGCGGAAATGATTGTTTTGTCTTACAACATGGAGGCAGAGAAACTGAGTCATTATTAGACTGAGGGCAGCCAGACTAGTCTATTTTGCTAAATTACTATATTTAGCTAAATATTATTGCAAAAGGGTGAGGGTTATGGTTAGGCCTTCTGACATACAGATAAAAAAAATATAAATTAAAAAAAGAACTCAAAAACGGCACTCGGGGCATCAAGCAGGGGCTCAAGATCCCTTTCCCCCCTACTCCCTTCACCCCCTCTACACGTACCTGATGAATACTGTGGTATGCATTTACAGCCACTCAGTTACCAAAAAGAGACTTAATAGATTTTAATCATTTTTATTGATATTGAAGTAGTGCCACCAAATATTGTGACCAAATCAACCAGCCCTATTGTGAACTTCCTTCATGTTCTTGCTTGCACATTGAGGTGTTACTTTTGTGTCCTTAAAACATTTTTAGCTTTTCTATGATTAAAAGGCCTAACATAACAAACACGTAATTAAATTAAGCAAAATTATAAATATTAAAAACATTCTTAGCTAACATCAGTTTGTACATTTTTTATTTTTATTTCTTGCAGAAATGTGAACATTAAAGTATTAAGAATTGTGTACTTGTGACTTCCTGGAAAATCAGAATCAAATCAAATGTCCAATTTTACTCATGAACTTAAAAAAGGTAACCAAGGTAATAAAGAAAAGTTAAGTGCAACAATAAAAATGATTGTTTTGTCTTACTAGGTGGTGCAGGTCCTCTTGTCATCTGCTCCGATTGCTACGACAACGCCAACATCTACTCTCGAACGCGAGAGTATTGCCAATATGCATATCTCGGGGAGGACGATCCACTGGACAGGGCGCTACCAGGCGTAAAGGACGGCCTTGGAGATACTGCCCACCCTGAGGACACAGCACTGGACAGCCTCATGCACAACAACCACACTTCTGCAAAGCAATATGTTAAAGGTAAGGCATCAAACAAAAGCTGAAGTTTTTTATACTTGCACAAAAAAATTTAATTACCAACACCTGCGTATAATTTACAAATACAAAGTAGTTTTTAAGGAAAGTGGCTATTAACAACCCTGCAGAAACAGGTTTAGACAGATTAGACTGCACCAAGCTTGTGTTTATATGCTGTAAGAATATTGTGGTCATTGATTTCACAAATCTGCAGAGGATATTTTCCATTGACCTGCTAAACCCAAAGGTGAAGCCACAATACTGCTCGTAGATATTATATTGATTTTCTGGATATTTTCTTTTCAGTTTCACAAGTACAGTACACAGATAAAGAAGACTATTTATGCATATAAATGTTTTTCTCTGCTTTCTTAAGAGATTTTGAGCCAAAATATTACAAATTGCTAAAAAAACACAAAATCTTAGAAAGTATTTTTGTGCAGTCTCTAGAGCACATTTCTAATTAAACTTAAAACATAACAAAACTAACTTACAAATACTTTTTCACAAAGATATAAGAGCTTGTTTTGAGTCAATAGTTCTTGAATATTCATAAAAATTACTTGTTATACTGATTATTTAACTTATGTCAAAACATTTTTTCCATGTTCTAAGTGACATAATCTGCCAGTAGAACTAGTACATTATAAATCTACAATCAATTTAAAATATATTTACTTAAAGCAGGCTAGTATATCTTGCTGAATACTTGCGAGTAAGTTTTGTCCTATTTCAACTCTAAAGTATTTGCAGTAGAAACTAAGCAAAAATACTTAAGATTGTTTTGTCCTTGAAACATCTGGGAAAGAGAATCATTTTGGTGATGAGATAAAAAATTTTCTGGTTTTTGGCTATTTGTAGATTCGCTCAGCAGAACTTCATGGAGAGAAGGTGAAGATCCATCATCAGTATCTCTACCTGGAGCTTCCCGTCTCTCAGTAACATTACACAGGACACCTACTCTGACCTCTGCTGCTGACAGGGCAGTAGAGCAGAATGAAGCAGTGGCTAGCTACTTCCCCAGGCAGCCCACCCAGGACCACAGAAGTGCCTATAATAGGACTAACCCACAGGACCATAGGGCTCCCACATAGGCTCTTTAAATTCAGGCAATGTTTTTGCCTCAGACTTGTTTCTGCACCTCCTTACCTTTTCCATCCTTACCTTTACCCACTACCTCCAAAGAGATTCCTTACTTTCTGCCAAAGATGCTCTCTTGTATGTTTACATTCCCCAGCTCAACTCACATTCCTCAGCTCAACTCAAGAGGACAAGCTAATGTTCTGTACTTCAGAAGGACTGATTTCTCAGACAGGATTAATTAAAATAACCTCTTTCCAGACATCCTCACCTCAGGAGGAGGCCGCCTCATCTCTTCATTCTAGCTATTCTTCTGTCCAACAAAAAAAAGAATGAATGTATGCTTAGTGGAACCAAGTCGGACGCTGCCAGGCAGGACCACTTCTCTGAGGCAGCTGTGCCTCAGCATTTCTGGTACCAGTTGCAGAGTACTCTACGTCTTAAGAAGAAAACACTAAGCCCTCCTTTGCAAGTGAAGGAGAAGAGGGTAATTAAAGAGAAAGATGTAGTTCCCTGACCAGCAGTATTCAGTTGATAACATTGGAAAGACTCTTAAAGGCTTACCTCTCATGTTTCTGCAGCCATTCTGACCGACTCTTATGCAAATTCCAGAGACAGTAACACCAAAACGTGGTGTGTATTATGAGTATACACATATATAGGTACATTTTTCATGTATTAGCCTTATTTGTTGTTTTGGGTT